GCTTAAGCAAGATGTGCATCCGAAACTGACCCATGAAATTGTCCGAACACGATTTACAAACACCTGGCAACAACATGCTATTGCCTGTTTTAGACTTGCTTGTGCGCAAGGGTTGGCCTTGCGCAAAACCAATTTGCACATACCCTGCCATTTACTTTGGTCAGGGACCTGTGCAGAACATTGACAATACTTGGTCTGGAAAAACAGCAAAAGGAAACAATGGCACTTAAGCAAAAAGCAAACACAACATGAACACTCCATGTGCAGTTCACAGAACCACTCCCACCAATGGCAAAACTGAGCTCGCGTAACGCAAAATCCCGCCCACACCGCTTGTCGGTGCAGGGCGTGCTATTGGGGCTCTTGCCGTCGAGCTCTGCATTTTAGCAAAAACATCCTATGCATATAGCTCTGCTAGCGGGGGCTTTCGCGCGTGCGTGGCTATGGTTGAGCTGCAGGGCCACTAGGGAGGGCGTTTTGGAGGTCCACTTTTGGATGATTTTTCGTTACGTCGTGCTCGCAGGGCCACTGGGGAGAGCGTTTTGGAGGAGTTTTTGTGTTTGGGGTGGCTGCTGCGTTGATTCTTGCTCGGCTGCAGGGCCACTGGGGACAGCACTTTGGAGGTGTACTTTTGGATGGCTTTTGGCAATGCCGAAGTTGTATCACCATTATGGCCCCCCAGGTAGACGAAGTTGGCCCCAAGATGGCTTCAACGCAGCCGTAAGACAGCCAACCTGGCCTAGATGGCTGCACTTGTCCCCCATTTGGAGCCAAACTAGTTGTGCATACAGCAGGAGACACGCGCCTGCTTATTTTACGTTACAAATTTGCAGACATGGTCCCATGTGAAACACTTTTCCTCCCTCTTTCTTTTCACATCTGACCCTCCTTCACTTCTGACTTAGGAATCGGGCGGCTGTCGACGCGAAGCGTCTTGAATAAAGGAAAAAACAAACAACGACCAAAACCCATTTCACTCCACATCTCCACCTCATCTTGCCTGCCTTGCACTTGGTGACTATGTCAGTCAGCCACATGGCAAGGTAGAAGAGAAAAGCATGGGCGCAGCTGCCTTCATCACACTGCTTTCATGTCACTTCCAAGAGTGGCCTCTGAAATTTCTCTAGGTAGCTCTTCTCTTTCGTGTTTTGAAAATTCGATTGAAGCATGCTTGCATTGGACAATTGCATTGCTCTGTATCTCTATCACAGTTCAAAGGGTCTGCCTTGGAGCCTGAGGACACGTGTGTCCCACACTTGATACGGGTTACTGTTCGCCGGGTGGACCAAAGCTGCGGTGTTTATTTCTTCTGACAATGGTTTACGGGAGTAAAAATAGATTTAAAAATTTGCAAGTGTTTCGGAGGAGGGATTCGTCTAGTCTGAATGATAAGAGCTTTCTCCAAAGACACTGTGTAAAGTCACAGACACACGTGATACGTCTGAAGCGTTTGGAGATCCACAGAACAATCTCAAGCGTTGCTATAGTCCCAAACCAAAGGGGCAGTCAAGGGGTTCATCGAAGGGATGCCAAAATCACAGAATGATTCTGCAGTCTCGACCGTTACCACTACATGTTCGCTCCTGCTTAAGGACAAGTCACCAGCTGCTAGGCTGACAGATGCTGCCACCACGGCCTCAAGTGGACATCTGGTATTCGGGCCGTTGCTTTACCAGGCTCTGCATGTCACTCTGCTATTCGGGCCTCTCCCAGCTGCCCCGTGCCGGAGTATTTCACGATGAAGGTGATGAGCGGAAAAAGGTCCAGTGCAACATAGATCGAAAGTTGCAGCAAAATGTCCAGACTGCCACAGCCTTGGTGAAACTTATCAAGTTTTTTAAAGGTGAGAAAAGGACTGCTCGCAGTTGTTCTTGACACTCTGACAAACGTCGCCTTATGTTCAAGTCAAGAAACGTCCAGAGGTTCGCTTTGACCATCCTCCTATGCTTGCTCTTGCGGAGGCCTGTTCTTCCCCGAGCTGAACATCGCAACAAAAGACACGGCGATACGTAAGAAACCTGAGACGCTGCCGCGCAGAGCAAGGGCATGTAAGACTGAAACAAAGTTTGCTTTTCGACACACGATTGCTGAAAAAGGCGTCTTGGAAGTTTGCTGAATCTGGAGCGGGTGGCGCATCATCCTCCCAAACATCTCGGGCTAAAATGAAGCAGAATCTCAGCAAATCTCCGACGATGCACACCATAAGCCAGCTGCGGCAGAAAATGGCGAAAAATGGAGCAAGTGGAAAGTCCAAGAGCTGAGATGTCATACACCTCGGACCAACCACTCACTTGACAGCTGGGGTGTCTTGAAAGTATCTCTTTTCAAAAGAACAAACGAATACAAACAAGTGGTCTTCTTGAAAGTTTGATCAAGCGGCCTTTCATTGCCATCGCAGGTAACGCTGGTCCGGTACCAGTCGATGTACCAGGCCAGCATCAAGTTTGCTGAGATGATGAAGTAGACACACGCGCCCACCCAAATCCCATAGGTATGCCAAACCTAATGCATGCCAGCAAGGAGAGAGATGCAAAATGACACAAAGCCGTTGTCTGACGCACGTTTGCACAAGACAGCGGCAAACTGCTTCGAAGGCGCTCTGAGTAAAAGCAGCCCCGGTGAATTCCGCAGCTTCTGCAAGGAAACCACAGGCGGATTTTGGCATGGCCCGCATAGCTCCTGTGTTGGTCCACACAGCCCAAACATCTGCATGCTTGGCCGCATGAGAAAGCAAGTCTTTGTGCTATGACACTCTCATCGGTTTTCAAAGCAAGCATTCATAAGGCGTTCAACACGGCTCGTTCATACCTGGAAGTCGAATCAAAGTACAGTTTCTAACATAACAATTGCATTACTACTAGTAACAAGATGTAACAAGTGCATCGCTACTAGTAACAAGTGCACAAGAGCCAAGTCTTTAGCCCCTTTCAAACGTCTCCAAGCTCCTTGAAGGTTCTCGACAATCCCTGTTCGGGGAGAGAATCTCTGTGCACATTGTTGACGAAAGACCTGCATACATCAAGGATACACAAGCCCAAGTTGAATGCCATGAAATGCATTCAAACATGTTTCCACTCGTGGAAACTTCAGAGCCTCTGTGGTGTTCTGGGCGAGTTCAAAGCTTGTAAGGCTCGATGCCACTCCTGAGGAAGTTCAACCGCTTCTGGGAAGGACATCCAGGGCAAGTCATCTGCAAAGTCTGCGAGTCGAACAGCTCTGAACAACAAATGTTTGCCGCTATGCTATGAGTCAGCAACATTCTCTTCAAGCCATGAAATCGATCATGTCAAAGAGAACACGGAATCCTCCGATGTCTCCCTGTGCTCCAAGTCCATTGCTACAAGGCTAAGAAAGCCTCCCCTTTAGGGAGATATTGAAGCTGCAAACTTTGGCAACTCGCAAACTACTCAAAAGTCAATCCGCACTTTTCCTCCAAGAACAACTCAGCGAATGAGACTATCAGAAATATGCGTCTTCTCACTTGTTCACACTTGTGGCTACCTCACAAAATTGTGCCTTAAGCAAGTTGCGGCTTTGTTTGGTGGCTCTGGTTCGGTTGTCAGCTCTCTGTGACCTCAAATGTTCCATGATGTCCTGAGATCAAAAATGTTTAGGTCTAGGTGACTTGGATTGCTGGTGGTTTTCCGAATCTGTCAAATGAGAAAAATGGTACGCCCTCCACTGGTAAGCCAAAAAAATAAGTCAGCAAGTGATGTAAAAAGGAATGACAACTCTCAAAGTGTCAACTTGGGACCATTGTAGAGCAAACAATGTATTTGGCCGTTGCAATATAAATGCTTTTGCCCCGTTGAGCTCTTGCAACTCAATGCGGCACTGTGACTATGACAATGGCGAAGTCTACGTGTGCTTTACTACCGCATCTGAGTGTGACAAAAAATGTACAGTACACTGTAAAGAGAATGCGTCGGCGCAATGTATCATGAGCGCCCTGAGTTGGCAAGCCCATGCTCTCACCCGTGTCTTCTGGTTACCTTCTCAACCAGAACTATGAAGCAGCTTCAAGCATCTATCCAAACTCAAGCGCTGAACGGCGTGTCATGTTTCGTGTCATGTCACTTGTCGTGTCACTGCTCGCTCGCTGAAACAGTTTTCAAGGACAGTACTTGCAGAACGTTTATCACAGACTTGATTTGACTACACAGTTGTTCCACAAGCCCTCGGTGCACTTCAAAAGCTCAATGCAAAATTGTACAGAATTGCGTAAACACAGTAGCATGACCTGAAAAGCACTCAAAAGGCCGCACGTGGGTTCTTTAGGCTTCTTTTGTTGAAGGCAAACGACATGATGAGACCCTCAAGTTCATCCATCGGAACCACGATGTGGCACGATGACAGATGACACGATTTATGCTGCCCACGTGCAAATCTGTTGATGGCACGCTACCGTCTGGAGTCTAGGTGTGCTATATTAGGAGAAAGGACACTACTAATAGCTCCTGGTATTACTACTATAGGAGGAAGAAGGCTACTAGGAACAAAGGGCATCGCTACTAGGAGCAAGAACGCGACTAGGGGCCCCTGGCCGTACTACTAGGAACAAGAAGCTATTAGGGGCTCCTGGCATCGCTACGAACGGAGCAAGGACGCTGATCGTTTTGACGGTTTTGTGGAAAAAGACGTCTACTGACCACTCTCCACGGTCACTTCGACACTTCAAACGGCACCCGTTTGAGCTGTGTTCACTTACTTCGAGGACTCAACAAAACTATAATGGTTTGTTTTGCAAACAGCCTGCGACACATCAGACTGGAAAAGACACGGGTTCAGCTGGAAGAAATGACACGCACGAGTTCAGGGTGCAACCGGAGCTGACTGGAACGCGCAAGTTCCTACATCCTTGTGAGAAAACAAAATGATTGAGGAAAGGTAGTTTGCTGCTTCTTGCTTCAACTGACAGGTCCATTCCAAGCATTGCATCCTGCACACGGCAAAGAAATAGCAAAAAAATCGCAAGCAATAATGGCAACATCGACGCGCTTTTGGTTCAATCGTGATGTCTGCAGGTCGACGGTTTCATGGGCCACAGTGTATACAAGTGGATTGGACCACTGGCTCTGTACATTTGTGGACTCAAAGTCATGGCCAACGGGTGCTCTGAGCATTTCCGGAGGCCAAGTGGACTTTGTCTGTGTTGGTCGTCTATACATTGCCCGCTTGAAGCAGCCGCCCTAGAATGAGCACCTCGTGGCTACGCCTAAGACTGTCTACTTCGCAGGGGCAGCATGCCCAAACTGGCACCACTGCAAAATGACCGACTTCCGAAGTGCACCAACATTCTTTGCCGGTGCATATTCGGAAATACAAGAATGCAAATTAGAATTGTCAAAATCATGAATAATCTTGGTGATATAGATAGCTTTCGTCAAACTCACCACATGACCCTTTCAAGCCATGCAAGCTTCAAGCTCTTGAGCATCAATTCTGTCGCTTGAAGGCCGACATCGCAACGCAAGGATACCTGCAATGAGCAGTGCAATCAATGCACAGCCACCGCCGATGTATGCCAGCTTAGTCATCTTTCCCGCTGGCCCAACTTCACGGAGCAATCTCACTGGTGACACCGGAGTGCCAAACACCTGAAAAGAACGGGAATCCCGCCTACCCTATGAGTATGGAGCTTCAATTCATTCCTACTTTCCTACTTCTCAACCTAAGCCGGTCGTTGATGATTCATCCCCACCTGAAGCTCTTGAATGCTGCAGCCGTTGGTGCTCTTGCAAAACACACGCAGCCATTGTGATCGGGTGCCGGCCGGAAGGTCAGTGCGCTCGACTGGGGCGGTGGGCTGGACATCTTCAACAGCAACTTCCCAAGTGACTCCATTTGAGCTGGTCTCCAAGTTGTAGCTACTTGGCAGGGTGTTGCCCCATGACAACAGGACGTAGTCAAGCTCATAGCTCCCTAGTAGATCAATCCAAATCCATTGGTCATCAGAAGAAGCAGATGCCCATTGAGTGCCTGCAAGCCCATCAACAGCCTTGGAGGCATGTTCAAAGGGCAGAATCTGTGAGGAAGCAAGAACTGGCTTCTCCTTTGCCACATTCTCGCCCACCGGAGCTGCTGTGGTCGCACCTGTGGTACTTGCCACTGTAGCCGCTGCATGCGCTTCATAGACCAAAAGCTCCCGGATGCTGCAGCTGCTTCCCGAAAGAGACAAGCAAACAATTCGGATCCATTGGGTCTGCGTATTTGGTGGTAAAGTAGTTTGCACGATTTGACCACTGCTGCCAGAGTCTGTGGTGATCGAAACCCAATCCACTGCATTTGGGCTAGCTTGAAGTTCATATACCTGAGCATAGTCATCACCCCAGTGGACAGCAACTTCCACGACCTCATGGACACCAAGCAGGTCGACCCATGCCCACGGCATTGCATCTGTCTCCGCAGATGCCCACTGGCTGTCAACAGACCCATCAACCATGCGAGAGACATGCTCTGTGGGCAATCTCTGGCTGGAAGACAACACTGGACGCAAGAGTGCAAGGTTCACTTTTGAATTAATCAGAGTTGTCGAACTCTGCACCTCGCCAGTTTGCAAAGATGTCGTGGATGAGGGAGTGGGAGACATTGATGAGCTGGACGTCGCCAGTGTAGAGGATGTGGTCATTGACTCTGGGACTTCTCCATGGATCCTGAACTCACGCATCGCACAGGCGCTCTGGCACTGAATCCTCACCCACTGCGCCAGAATGGCAGGGCTAAACACTGTTCCCACACGATCGGGAGCGCCATTCACCGTGGCCACATTCGTCCACTTGATGCCATCAGGAGCTGTTTGCAGCACAAAGTCACTGTACTCCTCACCCCAGATAACCACCACTTGACCCACTGCATAGACCCCCAACAAATCCACCCAAAGCCACTGCTGGTTGACTGGGGCAGATGCCCACTGTGTGTTTGAGTCACCATCCACCGCCTTGTAGGCATGCTCTGTAGGTGATCGAAAGGATGAAGCTAAGACAGGCTTCGTCAAGGCCAGATTCGGTCCGTAGAAAGGCGTCGTTGTAGATCCCGATTCGGTTGTCGTAGGTGGAGATGTTCCAAGACTGGTCGTCGATGTCGAGATCGGCATGGAGGACGTGGTCACGGAACTGGAAGAGCTGGATGTGGAAGTCACATCGGCATCCAAAAAGACCTGGAATTCCCACAAACGGATGTCGATACCAGTACTTTGGCTCACGATTCTGACTAGCTGAGCAAAGGTTGGTTGTGGTACATTGGATCGCAGCAAGTCAGATGAGCCAGCTGCAACTGCCAGTGTTGTCCACTGGGTCACCTTGCCTTGAATCAGGTAGCTGCTGGGGAAGAACTCACCCCAAAAGACGACAACATGAGATAAGGCATACACGGCGCCAAGGTCAACTGAAATCCATGGATTCTCATCAAGCAAGGATGGGCTCCACCGAGTGACAAACAATCCATCCACCGCATGAGCCGCTGCATGTTCTGGCGAGCTCTCGGAAGATGCCACCGCGAAGCGGCTCAAGGCGAGGTTTTCCTCCGTGGCCCCCGACGTCGTGGTTGAGGATGTGATGGTCGAACCCGTGGTGGGAACATCAGCAGTTGACAATGAGGCTGACCAATAGAGTGCCCACAGTTGAGTGAGGCCATCATCCATGTGCTCGGGTTTCATGGCGCTCAACCTGCTATAAGCAGCCTCAGGATCGATGATCGCCAGCGTGCCGGCGAGCAGCAACGATGTCCATGGGTCTGTTTCGCTCAACGGCAGACCCGACAAGATGTTGTCCCACTCTTGGCGGCAAAAGTCCGGTGTTCGGATCATCAATAAGGCCGGGGTCACCGGAAGCATTTGGATACCGTGAATGAACTCATACCTCCACCCAAACCACGTGGCATAGTCGACCTTGTTCTGAAAGAAGATCCCGGTCACATGGTTTGTTACAAAGTCTTCCGGATGATGCTGATTGTCTTGAGTCATGAGGAAGAACTCGCGGATGGTTGATGCACAAAGAGCTAACATGGTCGTCCCAAGAGCTTGCAAAGATTCCCTTTGCAAGACCATGCCCCAAAGACGAACACCATAGAGAAGGTTGAGTTCTTCTGATGTTGACTCTTGGTCTTTTCCATCGGCACTGGGAATCACTCCACGACTCCATGAATGCAGGTCAAACCAATCGAAGGAGCGGAACATCGGGAAATGAGCATCGTTGGAGCTTGGATTCGTGGTGTCCCGAATCAGAGTGTCCACAAAGGACACGAATGCATGATCGGCTGAAAATTCAGGCTTCAACTTCACCAGCACTGCAGCTGACACCACGAAGTAGCTGAAATGGTAGTGATGATCATTGTAACAGGCATTGCCAAAATCAGCATTTCTGCAGCCGATGTCTGAAAAGCCCTCCCGACTCGCCACCCCATGCCAAGCAACATCATAGTAGAGTCCAATTGGAGCTCCATTGCACTCAGGCGTTGTTGGCGCGTACAAACATTGAAAGCCCCTCCTCAAAATGTCGGCGCAGGACTGAGTATGGCTATGCGTCAACCCATAGAACTTCTCCAGAAGCAAACCTGGGAGGGAAGGATCAATCTGGGTTGCATGTGTTGTTCGGAGATTTTTCCTGATAGATCGAAACCTTTTATCATAACAATATGTTTTACTCGGTGGCAATCAAAAACGGTGCTCAGTGCTTACCATATGGTGCTTTCCATATCAACAAAACATATTGATGGGTCTCCCATCTGTGGGATATTTTGATACAAATGGTGTCGGTGGGATCCTGTTTTGGTGGCCTTTCCAGCCCTGCGTGTGGTGTGGTTTGTGCTTTAATAATGTTTCCGGCCAAGCGAGTTGCAGACGCTCCTGGTCATCAAAGTGCAACCTAGAAACCTAAGGGCTCTACTGCATTCAACACAGATTTGGGTTTTGTGTTTGGTTTGAATGCTCAGTGGCGTAAGCTTAACAGAGAGGGAGGGGTGCAGCGGCCTAGGAACAACTCGTTAATTGTCGTAACTTTCCCGCACACTCAGAAAACCTGCCCACTCAACGAAGGGCCGAGACACCAACCAAAAGCCAAGAAGCGTGGGAGACTAAGGGGGAAACACTCAAGTACTGAAAAAGAACTCCCAGACCAGTAATGGTTTATAGATGTCAGTCTGTGTGTGTGCCTTCCAGCTCTTGTGGTTGCGCTTCATGTTTGGCAGCTTTTGAGCTGTTTCCAGCCTCGAGGATTTACATGTGTTTACATTGGTGATTACATCGGTCCACACACGCCTCAATCTCAGACTCAGACCACGGGGCACCAGAGGACCGGGGAGCAGAGGTGCAGGGGACCAGAGGGCGGAGCCCCCCCAAAAAGCAGGGAATCTGCCTAATCTTCTTTTGATAGAGTTAGAAGAATTGGTTCTTTATACAGAAAAAACAAGTGCGGTTGGCAAAGATAATGGTTGTTAAACATGTCTATCAAAAGTAGTCGTTTAGGCCAACAAGAAAAAAGAAAGAACGGAACATCATTCCGTCTAGCAGCATGTGTATGCAACTTTCTGAAAGCCTTTGCCACTGAAGTAGTAGCTGCCCTTGAACATTGTCTGCCTCCATTGATCTGAATGCAAGAAGAACTGCAAAGTTCCAAAGGCCTTCTCTTTCAAGTCGGTGACTTTACTGCTTTGGGGTTCGTTGGCTGGTAGAAAGCTGAGACTCTCCGCTTCAGATTGGTTGACTTGCAACAGCCAGGTGTCACCGACCACAGCCTTCATGCGCCCTTTGGTGGGAGCAGCCAAGGGCTGAAGCTGTGACATTGTTTGGGCATTACCGGTCATTAGCTTCTCATGGCTAGCATAAGCAAAATGCAAGAGAGTGGTGGGGACTGCGGCATGTTTTGTAAAAGTGTATCTCACAGACCCACCTTGTTCACCATCAAGCTGCCAATCCACCAAGATTGCTTGAGCATGCTGGTCAAGGATTGCACGGTCGTCAGGTGTCTGAGCCTCTGCCAGACGAATCCAGCCCTCAAATGGCTTGTTCATCGTGCCGTCTGGGTGAAATTCAAAGGAATCATCCACAAAGTTCCCAGAGGAATCAATGGCATATAAACGGAATTCCTTCCCACCATTGTTGAGAAGCCTCCAAATGCCATCACTCACAGACTCGATGACAAGCAAGGCTCGGTCGGACGAAATTCGTGGAGTAAAACCTTCATAGTAACCAGAAACGTAGCTCATGCCACTGTAGATGGGGAACAAAATCCTCCTTCGGGTTCCTGGGAGTCCACGAACTTCTGCATGAACACCGAACAATCCCTCTTTCACGATGATCTGGTCCTCATTGCTGGCTCCTTCAACTGCTGCTAAACCAAATTCATTCACAAAGGGTGAAAAGTAGTAACGAATCTTTTCAGCTCCATTGGTCTCCGAATCACCATACTGGACATGTGGAGATGAGCTCCTGGACACTTGCATGTTCGGAGTCCCAGTGGATGAGTCGTATCGCAGCACATAGGGCATTGGATGGATGGAGAGCTGACGTCCTTCTTCCACCACCCAATTGGCCCAAAACTTGTTCGTGGACTTGGGCCCCACCACTTCTGTGCCATAGGGGGGAAGATGGCGAGGTGCACTGGGCAACGGGAAGACCTCTTCATCTGGGCGTTCCACGGACAAGGGCTGCAGTAGGGATGCACCCGATGCCAAAGGAAGAAGGGCCAGGGCAAAGAGGCACGCCATGACCACGAGATTCATGCTTTGAAGCTGACTGAGCAAATACTGCAGGGAAAAGAGTGCATGGACAATCAATGCAAGACATAGCTCTGGTTATCTTTGCGTTCGTTCTTTCATGGTCCATCTCCGTGCTTTTTCATTGTAAAGCATCTTCAGCACTAAACACTTACAACGTAGCTAAAAGGGGTATGAGCAAATGCCAGCTCTTCAAGCACGTTCATCTGGAGCATGTCCGCCCATATAACTATTACTATTTACTATTTATCAACGGAACTCGTTTTGCCACATCTTCACCAGGCTCTCGTGGCTACGTCATTCGAAGTCCAGCAGCATTTGACAGACGTCTTGTCTATCTGGAAAACACATTGCCAATGGACCCGTCGTCTCAATCTTTTGAAGATACTCTGTCACCGCATTGAGGAACTCCTCGGCCTTCCATAGTGATGATATGAAAGTGGGAAACCAACATGACAGGATATTGCTGAAGGCCGAAGGCCGTTATGAAGGAGGCCACTCTGGAAGTTTTTTGGACGAACTAAATGGCTGCGAAAGGTTGATAGTGGTTGAGGAGTTCCCTGGAATTCGGGCTCTGATGAATAGACGTTTGAGTGCCCAGAAATCTCCAACACTGCTGAGGCAGCGACTTGACCACTGCAATGAGCTGGGTACCATCTTGCACCCCTGGGTGAACTGCTAAAATCAAGCATTCTGACAAAGAGCTATCTTTATTTGGCCATCCTGGCCAAAGAGTCTTGTTGAAAGGTCTTGATGCGTCTTGATGGTAGCGTTTTGGTGTCAAGACGTCACGTAGATTTAAGTAGTATATATGACTCAACAAAACCCAAATAGCACAGGCTTCGAAGAAATGGGCCACTCACCCGCTACAGTCAGCCATCCGAGACACTGGTTTGACCAAAAATTGCCGAGTTCGGCAGTGACACCCACTATGTCCACATCTGATCTAACTGGTTAGCCGCCGGCTAGCCTAAGTATATGAATCATCACGTCGAAGCATGCTTCATGCCCGCAAGCTGGGACCAAATGGCAGCAAAGGTACCCATTTGTTCCAACGTCTCCGTCTGCGACTCTGCAAGAAATTTGCCCTTCATGGCAAAAACCTTGGAATGTCCAGGCATCATCACCGCTCGGGTAATGTTTTTTGGGTTCTGAGTTTCCCTAGCGAATCATTATGTGACTCCGCCTCCTCAAGCTCAGCGCTGGGCACATACACAGCCAGAGTCAGCAAAGCCAGAAGGAGCTTTCTCCAGAGCCTCAACTTTTCAGAGACCATCAGAGACTCACTAATAGTTAAGTTTGCCTTCGACTAAATGACCTTCGACTTGTCCCAAGTCACCAACTCCCTAGGTCCGCTGAAGCCGCCGGACTTTTCGAGACGAGCACGCACAATGCTCCGCGATAAATGCATTGCCCTGCTTTGGGACGGTTAGAGCGGAAGCATTGTTAGAAAGCCCAGGGAACATTCGCCACCTGGGAAGCCGGAAAGCCGTGCTTTTGTTGGACTGTTGGGTTGAAACCTGAAAATAGGGAGGGAGCAAAAACTATGCAAGGGCCTTCCCAGAAAATCATGAGCATATGGACGACCTTTTTCCGCTAAGTGACTACTACAGGTGTTTTTACACTTCGGAGATTACAGGCTTGCTACTAGCTGGCTTTCGTGATCTGGAATTAGGTCCTCCAATGTCTTGTCCACAACAAGAGGTTGCAAAAGATTGTCTGCCCACTGCCAAAGGTTTTTTTGCCAACAAATTCAAGGGATGTGTACAGTTCCGAAACAAAGGGGTGGATTCTGCTCTTCAAGGGGGCACGCTGCTCTTCGATGGCGTCGTTGGGGCAACCCTCCAAGCCAAGCAAAGTACGCCTTGCTTGGTGAATAACTCCATTCTTTCATCTGCAGACAAAGTACTGGCCACAGGCCCCTGATTTGATGCACCTGCTCTCAGCGACTGGCCAAAGAGTAAAGTTCAGGACTTCATAATCACAAACTTGTTGAAGGAAGCTAGAAGAGTACCAAGGAAGGCACTGTCTGCGGCTGCAATGTATTTTCAAGCAGGAGAGCTCTTTCTTTTGTCAAACCTTGCAAGGGATTTGTTTGTACCTGGGCACATCAACGTAAAGCATCAGTGCAGAAGGATTCACAATTAGCCATCCTGTGATAACTTCGACTGAGAAGACGACAAAGTGGCCCTTCAAAAACTCGGGATCCTGGCAGCCAATTGCCTTTCTATCCATCCAAAGACTCAAAGACCACTACCGAGCCTGCGCAGACAGGTCGACATCATCGACGGCAGCCCAAGTCTTGTTCTCGTCTAGCAGCTCCGCGTGAGAATCCAAAAAGCTTTTGATCTCCTGTCAATTCGAATCCATCTCATGTTTTGCAAGCCTCTTGTGCTCAGCATTCCAGCAGCCAAAACAAAAGCAAAAGTCTGGCTTAAAGCTGAATCGAAACCCTTTTTCTTTGACGGAAAAAGCATTGAACGGCACGATTGACCCATGCTGCTGATCAATTCGAACCAAATATCCCTCGCCTTTGCACGACAGCCAGGGCCACCACACAGGATGGGTGTTTCACCTACCTCGTCGCCAGACATACGGACGGAGGTCTGATCGAGGGTAGGAAGTCAAGTCGTTCGTGCACGTAATCATTTAGAGCCAAGGAATATTCACCAACTCAGATGACGACAACTTTCTCCGGCGCGATGCCAGCCCTGCGCGGAAGGATGAAACAAACCAACTCTTGATCACATAGAAAAAAGGAAACGACATGCTCTCCAGGGCAGTCGAGTCACTGCTGAAAAGCCTCGAGCAACCTGCGCTTATGTTGAGGATACCTTCTCCATTGCGTAGACAGAACCAAGTCCTCAGAATGTGAGGCGGCCTGACCTCTTCACCGCAAGTCCCAAAGAAAGGAGCCTTGAAAAGGAAATGGAGTTACTAGTAGCTTCTGGTTACTAGTAGTAAGGCCAGGAGCCCCTAGTAGCGTCCTTGCTCCTAGGAGCGATGCCCTTGCTTACTAGTAGCGTTAGATCCTGCACCAGTTGGCTGGACATACAGTTGTTGCGGGTCTTCTCTTATGCCATGGTGCAGCATTGCTCTTCTGCAGCGTGTGCGACAAGTTCCGAATCAATGCAACATCCAGCTCTGGAGTGTCTTGAATGTAGCGATTCAGCACCCCATCTACATCCTGCATGGGCGGTCAGCGCAATGCAGTCAAAAATCATCTTAAACATTGTTTCATGCTTCCATTGTTTTCCTCCAGCAGCTTTGGATGTGTTGGCAGCATACTTATCTAACTTTATCTTTTCTGGCTACTTCCTTTCCATCTTCTGTCCTGCCTTAATGACAAGGGCGTCTTGAACCAACAGTGTATGGGTACGTCTCAAAAACAAGTCCCTCTACCTCTACCTTAAGACTTTAAGACCACACACCTTTAAAAATGTGAAGGTGCCCTAAGAGTTGGCTTCAAGGTGAAATTTCAACTCAAACAAGAAAGGTTGAGATTCCCTTCGTCCTGAAATAGTAGAGGATGCCTCGGCCTTGTGGAGACAAACCTCGTTGGATGGCTCAACGAGTCTCCGTGTCCCGTTCACTCAGCCGAGCCGATTTCGACACCTCCAGTGCCTCCTTGCTCCTAGTAGCGATGTCAGGAGCCCCTAGTAGCGTCCTTGCTCCCAGTGGTAAGGCCAGGAGCCCCTAGTAGCTTCTTGTTCCTAGTAGTAAGGCCAGGAGCCCCAAGCTCTAGGAAGCAGACATCGATGGTCCAAATGCCGCCTTGCGATTCAAAGCAACTTGATGGGCTAGGGTTGACGGTGGAACTTGGGCTTTGCAGCTACCGAATCTTGCCTGTTCAAGAAGACGCATATCCAATGCAATCCAAGAGCTGCAAAAACTCCATAGACGGTTCTAGAACGCTGCAATGAGCTCTTCAACTCGCTTTGCTTATCTGCATGTCGGGATATGTCAGGACGGCTATTCTCTACAAAGGGAGACAAAGCCTGTTGGACCAGTTCAGCACATGCAGTAATCAATCCTTGAGCCACATAAACCCAGCTGCAGAATAGAACGTGACACCACTCTCAGGCTTCCTCGCTGAAAGTTCACCAGTGATCGAAATTGATTCATTCGCAAAACTAAAGAAGAATATAGTAAGCTCCCCACTTTTTCTCGAAAACGAGAAGTGGTCCAGCTGGGATCGCAAAGAACTTCGAAAGCCACATCACCTTTCACCTTGAAACCGCGCGACAACCAGAAAGTTCTGCATTCCAAACACTTCTCATGATCTCACATCCGCCTCTTAGCTCTGAGCACATGGCGTTTCTGATATGAACTGTCATTTTCTTTGCACCATCGGCCTTGACCTTCCAAGTATTCCAAGTTGAGAAGGAAAAACGCCTGCTGGTAGGCTCATCTGCCTCACTGGTACCCGATGATGCTGAGTAGCCGGATGCCGCTGAGAACTGAGAGTTCAGGCTCGCGAAACAAGCTGCGAACCACACAGCGTACCAAGCAAAATATGATGGCATTGGAGTGTTGGGCGTTAAAGTCACGGAGCTCACAATTAAGTTAAGGAAGAAACATAGTAGCTGCAAGAAGAATGCCTTCAGCATTCTGGAATTTTTACATTGCCTCCACCTGCTCAACTCACTACAAACACCCCTTACAACAAGCACTCGCCAAGCGCAGTGATAAGATGAGGCTGCTGCTGTAGGTGAAGACGTGGCTGGGGCAGATGTGGGAGGCGTGGTTGGAGAGGGTTCCTCTCAAACAAGAATGTGAAACCACTCCTAAATCCTCACTCTCCTCACTCTCCTGAGTCATGGACCCTTAGTCCTGGAAACTTTTCAGTAGACACTTTGTGGGCCTGAGCAACAAAGGTATCTTTCTTCCAATCCCTGTGCTGGTTGGCAAATGTAGCCGCCTCTATGGCAAGCTGCTCGTGACCCCATGCAGTTGGATGAAACCTCAAAAGCAACTATCGACGAGGCGAGCTACTCATCATCGGAAACTGAGGGCTAAGCATGCTAAAATCCCACATGGATCTGTCAAACACTGCTGGTCCAAAGGACAAACGTAAGCGCTCCAGAGCAGCAACCTGCAATAATCGCAGCTGTTTGGACCATCGATTGACACTTGAGCAAGTTTGCCTCATCAAAAAAGACACAAGTACTCTCTGAGTGCTTGCCGTTGAACTCCTGCAGGTCGCTTGAAGGTAACAGCTAGGATCCTAAGCACTTTCCATACCCATGCTCCTGCACCATTTCTTCCCATAGATCGTGTAAAGCGATTGCCTTCAGGTCAGTTTTGATGTTCTTCTTTAGTGAATGATTAAACTCATGAGTCACAGAACCGGCATCGTGAAATTCCCTCTTTGGGAGAACTCTATTTTGGCTTTGGCTGTTTCTTAGACTTGTCAGAGGATACTTGCAAGGACTGTCAAATGGAGAAAGCAGGCTTAGATGTGCATGCCCTTGCACAAGAGAAAACCCATACTTCTGCATTTGCTCAGTGCTTGCCTGGACTTCCACCGCCAGCCGTGGTGGGTCACCAGGGCTGACGCCGAGCGCCTGGACAGTCTGAAGGGTGCCATCGGAAGAGTCCCGCATTTGGAGCGCTCCAACTTGAAATCTCCATGGCGCCGTGAAGATGGCGCCTCTAGCTTTCCCGAATTCACCATGGCCGTAATAACGGGCCTTCAAGGAGTAGGTTCCACCAAACAAGAGAAGCTGACTGACTGTTTGGCAACCAGTTTGGAGCAATACATTGCCATATTGAAGACGGGCATGTCCAGGAAGATTGGAACCTGAAAAAAAAAAGGGAAAATATCTGCAAGTGGGTTGCCTCTGCTGAGAAAATGTTGGGGCCCAAACTCCAGATACCAGAAAGTTCCTGGCTCCTGCCTGAGCCGGAGAAATTGAGGCGGAACTCGACTTTTTCGCACGACCATAAAACTCATGTTCCATGGTTCTTATGTGCTCAGCTGCCAACTCTATGCATGGTCTCCAGGAATTCTTTGATGACCTTGGGATCACAGGTTCCAAAAATTCTGAATCGAATCAATAAGAATATATATTATACATATGTTATATATACATGTATATATACACTTTACATCGAATCACACAGCCCTAGTCCTAGAATGCTCCAGAGCAACAAAAAGAAAGACTTGTTTGTTGATGTTGAAAATTCCACAATATAGTGTTCCAAGATCTATTTTCTCTACAAAGCACTGGGAAACCTGCTACAACTTCCCGCACACCAGGATTTGGCTGCAGCATCTCTGGTGTCGCCATGCCAGAAATATTGCCTGGCCAGTCAACTGCAACTTGGAAAGGACGCGTGGCTGCCTCCAATGTGGCCTCCTCCGAACATGCTGCCAAGACCGCCGCCCATGAATGCCTGTGGTTCCAGAGATATGTGTGTATGCCATATATGTATTTGTTCAAACATCTAATATATACAGTATCCATATACACGGTGCCCCGAAAAGAAGATGTAGGGGTACCATCATTGCGGTGAATTTGGGGGATACCATGTGCATAAATAGATAAATAAATATATATATATATATGGTACCCCCTTTCCAGTACCCACCCAATGTGTGCTTTTTGCTGTAAATTACGGTGTTTTGTGATACAGTATTCTGTGTTTTTTTTAAAGATATTTTGGGACCTTGTCCACATGATTGTTCAGAACTCTTTCCATAGGGGGGGTACCATACATACATACATACATACCTACCTACCTACATACCTACATACCTACATACCTACATACCTACGTACGTACACACGTACATAACATTCCATTACATTACATTACACAGCATAGCATACATATACATGTAAAAAAATCTAGAAAGAAAGAAGAACAGTAAGACTGCAGCACTTCAAGCGTTGAGGATGGAGAAATAGTAAGAACGTCGGGAAGGCTGCAGCGCTGCGATAAGGTCATGTCAGGGCCAGCAGGCGCTTCGCTTCAAGCAGCTGCCCTTCATCCAAAGATTTGAAATGCAAATGCGGCTTGGTCACCATGTGGAAAGGACCACGAAGCCATGGCTTCAGCCACTCCAATCCAGCGCTCAGCCAACACAGGTGCCCGATTAGCTTCTGCAGTTCTGCCCGCTTGAGCTTAGCCCGCCTCAAGCAAAGGGGCTGCAATTCAGCCAGCAGACGCTCTGGTTTATCGCACGGCAGCTTGGCCACTTTGGCGCCGCCCAGGGAAATCTCCCAACCAATCCAGCGCAACGAATCTGCCAGCTGCAACTTGCACCAAGAAAGCGGCAACTCCAAGGCCGATGCCCAGAAAATGCAAAGGCAGGACATCAAATGCGCGCAGCTTCTTGGGAAGAGCGCCAACAAGTCATCCACGTAAATGGCAAGAAAATGAAAATGGAATAAGAGCCTGTGGGCTTCGCACATAGAGCCCTGCAACTCTGGACCACCAATAGGCTGCCCAGGAGCAGCCAAAGTGGCATGTCTTGTAAACTAACCTATGTTTGGCTCCCTATTTGTCGACCGCGACAAATATGGAGAGGCCCTGTTCCTCTGCTGCGACGCGCACCCGCTTGGCACTTTCGCAATGTCCAATGAGAAGGCGCGCAGTTCCTCTTCGGCACGCCTGGAAGCAAACATGGACAGGTCTTGCAACGAGGGCAACTCCCAAATAGTGGAGCATGAGAGAGGTACGAAGAGGTCTTCGCACCTCCTGGGCTGAACATTGAAGATTGAAGATTCTACCGAAACTTTGGGTGGAATCTTCTTTCTTCAATCTTCAATCCAAAAGGTAGGAAGACCTCTTCGTACCTCTCTCATGCCCAAATTTTCTTCGTCAGTGCAATTGCCAGACTTTCCGTGTCAGCTTGCCATTCCAAGCATCGAGACTACTTTGTGTTCACCGCGTAGTAATCTCGTGACATCTGGTCGCAGTTCGTGGGCAGGGTGCCATGGTTGTCCTTGTACCGGAGGTGACAGTCATCATGACACCGCCCCCAACCTCAAGTAAAATCCTGGCCAAGGCTCTGTGTCCTGGTGCGTGTGTGTGTGTGTGCCTCTGTGTGTCCAATTGCACATGGACCGAAAACAAACTTTGCCATAATAGCAAGAACGGGCAATGGTCGGTCCTGTATCCTCATTCGCGGCAAACCATCCAGCCGTCTCAAACCTGCATTGTCAGTCAAAAGCGCTCCAGGCCCAGGTGCCATTCACAAAGTCGATTGGACACCACTGGCAGGAAAACATCTTGCTGATCGAAAGGTGGCGCTCCACACGGATTGCAAAAAGTTACCGGCCCAAGGTGAGTGGCTTTCTGCATGATGCAGCGGTGCGCTGCAGAAAGAAGACGGTTGTGAATGGAAAAGCTAAATGGGCGGCTCCGCAGTATGTCCCCAGCAGGCAAAGCCTTGAAAGTCAAAGCAAGCACGCAGCATATTGACCGTGCCCGGCGGTTCGTCAAAGAACGGATCCGCGGCAATCAACAATCACGTGAAGGCGGGAAGCAAAGCCATCCAAGCCCAATTTCGATCCGCTCAGTATGAGTACTGGATCCGCGGGTCTGATCTTTGGTTGCGTACTGGTGACTTAGTCGCAGGGAAAATGATCTGCATCTTTTCAAAAAACAGCCTCTGATTCTGAGACGAAAAGGATGTCTGTTGCGTTCCACTGCTCTAAGGTGTCAAACCTGCTTTGCATTCATCAATGCTACTTAACCATTCCACACAAGCATCTGCAAACCATGAAGCAACATCTACAATCCATCGCCATCATTCACGGTTGGTCTGTCATTCTCAACGCAAAAGGTGGGTATTGGTAGGGCGGCATATATGTATATATATATATATGTGTGTGTACTGTTTTGGAAAGTAGGGCTTCACATACTTGAAGACTTTCACGAAAGAAATACATATGTATAAATAAACCTCTTCTAACGAATCTTGTTTCCTGTACTTAGAGCATTTTAGACAATCTTAATGTTTGTTTACTTAGATATTTCCAGAAAACCTGACCATCTTTTACACATTCTGGAAATATCTATATATATATATACATGAAATCCTATCTTCCACCAGTTTCAAACAATCAAATGCTTTAAGTCCAACTACACACTAGGTACACGACCCTTAGATGGCCGTGGCGTTTCCTGAGGACAGTCTAATTGAACATGCGCACGGCGCTGTAGCGCCACCATCTTTTTCAAAGATGCAACTGCAAATTCCACGTTTTGCGAAATCACAAAGCTACTTTTTTTGCACTCACCGGCTCTGCTTAGCGACTTCGCACAGCTCGTTCAGCAGTTGGCGCACATGGTCCAAAAGATCTTCGCCACATGTACTGCATGACTAATTTACGGAGCTCTGGGTGTTCTTTGACATCATGACCATGGCGATTTCTCCTAGGAAAGGATGCCGGAATATGGCTCAGCCATCCACGATCGGCAAACAAAGTAGCTACTACATCTTTGGAAAGTTTTCGCGTGCAAAACAAATGTTCAAACAAAGATTCCCAAAGCACCTTCAACAGCTGTACATGCTCCTCCAACGCTGAAAACACCACCGGCCAACGATCCTGGTCAAGAACCACCAACCACGTGCTTGTAACCAAAGGATCCCCGGAACAAACCTGCACAAACAATTCAAATAAACTTTCCACATACAACACATCCACCAAAACCAATTCTTAAGATTGGCCAGAATTTCTCGGATGCCCGTAAACTTGCCTACTCGCAACCGCAACAACAACAACAACACGTACGACAAACCGAGCGCGCCCGCAAAACTAAGGCCACCCATGGCCTTTGCGGCCTTTGAGGGAAAAAACTCGGCGCCGCGACGATGAAGACGAGACGATCGAGACGATGTAGACCGACGTCATATTTTGGCCCCACCCCCCATCCCCCCCCACCCCACCCCAACAATTTGCAATGCAACGAAGACCTGGAGCTGGGATGCAAAAAAGCGTCGAAAAAGAAAACATTGCAAGAAAAACACACGGCCTACCGGGGGTCGTGGTCCAACTACACACACAGATCCTTACCGCATCGGCTGGCTGATCTCAAAGTTGTTGATCTATCATAAGGATCCCGTCCTTCGTCCATACTTGATCCTCAAAACAAAAAATCCTTGCAAAGAAATGTTTCTCTTGAAACATTGCATTTGTCATGAATGGTTTTCCTTTTGTGAGGATCTCACCTTGTAGCATGATGGTCTCCTTTGTGTATTGAAAAAGCCTTTCCTCTGAAAGTGGTTCTCAACCTGCAAAATTGAAAACTCCTCCGAAATTATCAGAAACCTGTGCCAAACATTGCTGAATTTAACCCCATTATTGAAAATTTGCTTGTTTGAATCAAGGTCTTCATAAGATTGAGACGTGTGAGACGTGTCCCTGTCAAGGGAATTGGATCATGCAACCCAGAAGGTGTGTTGAGAAGGACTGATCATGCAAACCTTCTTGTCGATGATGACAACGTGTGTTTCAAGAAGCTTGTTGGGTGCCCAAGGTGAACAAAGCAGGATCAAACCCCTTTAAGATGGACACACCTAAATTCCATATCAACTCCGCTGCAAACAACAACCAATGAAATTCGTTCCACAAAGGTTTCTCGCAATGATTCAGGTGTCTTCCAGCAATGTTACTTCAACTGTTTGCAGGGAGCAATGACTTTGCAACGACAGCTTTGTTGGAGAAAACAACAGAATACGAGAATGAAGGAAAATCCAAATGGCAATGATATGCTCAGACAGGGTGAGGCCCTCATCAAGAAAAACATTTACAAAAGATGAGATGTTCAAAGAACAGAACATTCCTTACACAAGGGAGAGGCTCTCGTAACGTGTGAATACAGGATGGAACTATTGCAATACAGAAGATTCACGATGAGGAAGGTATTGTTAGAGACTTGCGAAGAGAATCTCAACAGTTTTTGTATATCTTGTTGAGGTAGGCGTGAGGAGGAAGCATTTCAGGTGTATAAAGTAATCTTGAATCGTACTCTCATCTTTACTCTCATCTTTAACAAGCATGCTGTCATTTTGACTGAAAATAGTGTCGTTTTGACAGGATGCCCTATTGTGTCAAGAACAAATTCTTTAGAATTCAGGGAAATAAATCACAGGGATTTGTACGGATTTGAGGGATGGTATGGTCAGTGAAATTCATTAATCTCAAAAGGAATTTCTGAGTGTCTGTCCTTTGTAAGCAGTTTTAACCTTAAGCAGTTCGTTTGTTCATGTCGCGTTTCAAAAAAATGCATGTTCGTGTAAATAGTTCCTTTCATATGTTTGACGCAATGTTTCACTTCAAGCAAACACATTTACAGTCAACCAGGAGACACGTTGTTTTTGAAGGAACATAATTCCATATTAAAGATGATATTGCAAATATTTGCTAGGGCCCCAAAGAGATTCCTATTGCTTTTGCACGAAATCGTTTCAAACAGCTGAGAGAAACGAATACGGACATGTTATTTGGAAACTCACAACAAATATTACCAACACAAGAAAAAGTGTTTTTTCTGTGAAAGGAACTGTATATATATATATATAGTCTATAGCTTTCGAGTATACACAGGCAGAGAGAGAGAGAGAGAGGGGGATAGATATAGATTGATACAACATTCAGGTCGCTCCTACTGTTGATTTGTTCCCTTTCCAAAGAGACTGCTGTTGCAAGAACCACGAAATCTGTTGTAGTTGCCTCTGCCATCTTCATGATGAAATCATTTCCGCACCTTGCAACCGAGGCACTCAACTTCGAATTGTTATTTGAACTTTAAACTACAGTATATTGTTGAAATATTGTTTCTGGACGGACTCCTTGCCTTTCGGTTTGCACAGGGCCATTTCCCTTCCGAGTCTCTTCACATGCGTGATTGTTTCTGTTGATGTGTTCTTTTTGTTCAATTGTTCAACCATTTATATAACTCAGAGTGGCACGTGTGAACAACCACCAAGGTTTCTGCTGGAAGCAAACCGCCAGGTGCTTTGGAAACCTGCCCACAGCAGAAACGCCTGGGTACTTATTGAATCGACAGCAACTACGACGACGAAACACACGATGTTCATTACCATCAATTTTTCGTGAAAGAGCCAGGCTTGTGGACTGGTGATTGCTCGCTGGGCTTGGCTTCGAAGATCAGCACACATTGAGCCTGGCTCCACAGTGCTTGGAAGTGGAAATGCACTTGAATGCTCAAGTTGCAGAATCTGATTTAAAAACCATAATAGCAGCTTCGCAGTCACACCTGCTTGAGCAAAACTGTGGACGGTGGCACCAAGTCTCCGGCCTAAAACCTGTGACCGTCAATGCAAAGTGACATGGAAGGTTACCTTTCTTTGAAGATCCAAACAACACCGCAACACCACGCCTGCGCCCAAGTTGGGTACATGTACTCTGCCCATGAGTCCTGCAAGTTGAACATTGTACGCACTCCCAAGTCCACCAGCAGCACAACACGCGCTGTCCCCGAAGACCAGCACAGACCAGTGTGGCCGAGGCATCTTTCCAAAATGTTGTGAATTGAATTGTGATCAACAATAACAAATTTCCATAACACTTCGTGATCTGCTTGCAGGGTGATGAATCTATTCGCATGTTAAATCACAATCTGTTCTACACACGTTTGTTCGGCGTCGTGTTCGCCTGTGTATGAGTTTGTTGAAATGGAAATTTGCGGCAATTAGCTCGATTTTGACCAGCATTCCACACACGCTAAGAAATCCGCGCATGAACACTTGAATGACAAGACCTGTCACCTGGGCCAGTTTGTGGCAACAACACAGCAGGAACAAAGTTCGTTGAAACCGAACACCTTTCACAGAACACACTGTCGTCAATTTCTGATCGGGTTTGGGTTTAAAGCGCCGATATCGGAAACAAACGTTCCAGCTGCTTTGATGGCAGGCTGCAAGAACAATTCCCCCGAAGTTGTTGAATTACGCCAGCAAAGACCCCAGATAACACAGGGAATCATTCCATTCAAGCTGTCGCGGCTTCTATAGTCGCGCTTCACAACGCTTCTGAAAATATCACAATACCACAAGGACCCCTAAACCCCCAAATTGCAAAAATACTTCGGTGGGGCAGCACCCCCAGCACCCTCGAGCGCAAGAGACACGTTGCAGCAACGCCCTCGAGCGATGTGCTGCGGCAGCCAAGCTCCCAAGTGCACACAGCAGCGGCACCATCACCAAACTTCCAAGCGTCCCCAGCAGCGGCACCCTGCAGCGGCACCAGCGCCCAAGCTCCCGAACACACACAACAGCAGCCACCAAGCTTCCAAGCGCACACAGAAGCACTGCAACGCTATCAGGTCACGCTGGCCTGTGAAATTTTTCTGAGCAGCTAAATTGCCATCTCTACAGAGAATGTCGACCTTAGCCGCTGGAACGAAATGTACGATGCTGGTGAAATCTGCACGTACGAGGTCGCAGCCGCCGTGGTCCTTGTGCAACATTTTGCTCTTGATGTCAAAGTTGCACTCGGTGACTTCATTGACGTCCATACGCGTTGGATCGCTCTTGGACGGACTGCTAGGCGCGAGACTTGTTCTCCACCCTGCGAACATCTATGCACACATGGCGAGACCGGCTTTGCTAGTTTTTTGGACCCCAAATAAAGGCCACCAATTCATCACAAATTCATCCGAAAATGCAATTTAACTTTGGACACATCAATGGCCAAATTTTTTTGGCACAGGTGGAGACGCCATGTGTGCAGAGAATGCACAGGTCATCTTGTGCTACTGAGTGAGTCTTCGGCCAGGAAAAGAAAACCACACAAAACAACACCACCAACCAGCCCAACACACCCAACAAACAACAAACCAAAAGCCCGGCCCGTCACGAGACTCAAGTGGGTCGTGCAGAGGTGAAACGAAGAGAGATTCAGGTGAGACAGATTCTTTTGCACAAGTGGCGACGCCATGTGTGCGGTGTGCACAGGGTTATGTTTTGCTAAATTATGAATCTCCGAGTTCTCACATTGCGAAAACGGGAAAACAACAAGCAAACAACCAAAAAACAAAAACCGACAAGCAAAAACCTCGGAATTTCATCTCTGTACATCAGGGTGAAACATGGTGAAAAAGGAACTATGGTTGCTTTCTACCTGGGCCATGAATTCAAGATCGAGCTGCCATTGTTTGCGTGTTGGTCCATGTGCGAAGTGGCATTGGGCGATTGGCCTGTGTGTAAACAGGCCTCTGCACGAGCACTTGCAGGCGCGAGTGCTCAGATGCAAGATCGCAGCTCACAGCTGTTGAGCAGAGCCTTAGAAGTTCCTCAGGAGTATAGCAAGTCAAGAGCTCGATGATCGAAGAGCAATGAAGGCCTGGCCGTGGACAACAGCAGTCACCTGGTCACTATTGTTCCAAGCAACAGCGAGGGAAGCTGTGGCCTGCAGTGGGCAGTTTGCTTAAGAAGGTCATTGCTTTCAGGTACGCACACACTGTGCACTGCGAAGCTCCCTCGAAAAGAGGGAGTAGGAGCAGCACATCACGAGCAGGCTCCTTAACAGCTAAGCCTACAGGAGCACTGCAAGTGTGCAAAAATGCTGTCCTGGCCGGATAGCGATTCGACTCTTCTGCGGACTCGCCTCCATCATGCAAGGCAACATGGTGAAGCTAGTGTGATGCCGTTTGTCGACTTTGTACAAGGTTGGCAGGGTACGGACCCACCCCCAGGACAAGAACTAAGGCTCTCACCTGGGTTCCAACCAACTGTCTATTCTACCGGCGCGCGCAGACTCAGGTCGAGAACTAAGGTTCTCGCCTGAGCCAGCTCACTGGAAGCGGTGGGCAAATATGGACATGCTGGCCAACAGATAGGGACGACTCAAGACTAGCTCAACACTCCTCTGCACGTGTTGGAGAGAGCAGCAGGCTGTATTGGTGTTCTGGTCATCTGCCTACACGGTGCCTACGAACGCAGCCTGTTTGATTTAGGCTGAGTCCGCATCATATCCCAAATCGGGAATGAGGTGAAGCCACTTGTGGCAAACGCCATCTTGGACAAAGCGCAAAGGCTGTCTCTTCGGCGCAGGTCCCTCTCTGGCATTCGCGCGAGCCCTCTCAGAACAGTACAATCCAAGAAGGCTTTGCAGGCAATGTAATGTAGTGATGGTGGTGGGATTGCTAGTTCTTGCAAAGCGGCACAATTCATGAAAGCTTTCGAATGGATAGTATGGAGCGTGTACGGGAGCAGTATTCACTGGAGCAAAACACAGTTGGCAAAAGTGAACTCTCGAATCTCCAGTATTGTTGTTTCTGACATGCCTACTGGAGAGAGGAGTTTGCAATTGTCAAAGGCATGAGCACCTAGTCTGTGAAAGTCAAGGGGCAGCTTAAGGTCACTCAGCCCTGTTGAACAAAAGCACCCCTGTGGGATCTCTCGACGCATGGTGTAGATAACTGCGGTTCGAGCACTGCTTGCAGTATCTTTGTCGCAGCTAGGTTAATGCATGCATCGAAGAGATAGGGGCCGTAGGGGCCTAGTTTAGTCATGCTGTGAAGATGTACGCTGTACATCACCTTTGTCTCGTGAAACCACATGATCCGTCCGTAGAGGGCGGGCTCAGCACGCTGAAAAGGCGCGGACGCGCGGTCCTTCGTCGGTCGCCTTGTGCTTCGACGTTCGATCGTCGGTTCACCTACTTCCTGGAGAACTTCGTGCGTTTCCAGTTTCTACATTGGTAGCGGAGCCCGGTTCAGGCCGGGCTCCCTACCCTGCGCACTTCGCGACGGCTTCCCGAAGGCTTGGAAGAAGCCCTACGTCACGAACGGTTCCAAGAGCTCTATTTTCCTGTCTAGGTCTTTGTCTGGTTTTTTCTCATCCGCTACCACATCACCCCAGCGAACCAGCAGACCTCTGAGGAGCTCTTTGGCACCATGGCCCACAAGAAGACACCACAGACGCAGGCATCCGGCTCGGCGGGAAGCAGCTCGGCATCGGGCTACCTTGACCTCAGGGACTCCTATGTTCCCATTTTCAGTGGCCAGCCGAGCGACTACAAGGAATGGCGGCAGCGGATACATTTGTATCGTCGCAAGATGTCCATCACCAAACGTGGGAATGAGAGCGTCCTCAACATCGTGGGCAGCTTCACAGGCCTCACCTGGAGGCTGTTCCAGGACTGGGCATTGGAGGATCTCGAGAAGACAGATGCCTTCACAAAGATCATAGAGGTCCTCGACCGCAAATTTGCCTATGACACCAGAGTTCAACTTCCCACGGACTTTGAGGGCTACTTCAACAACTTGTTGCAAAGGCCACCAGGTCAGACACTCCTCATGTACGTCAATGACCACGAAGAAGCATATCGAAAGTTGGTGCAACATAAAGTTGAGCTTCCTCCCTCTGTCCAAGGATGGCATCTACTGCGCAGAGCTGCCCTGACCAGAGAGCAGCGACAAATGATCACGCTGAAAGCACCTGGCATGGAGAAGAGTGACGTGATCGAAGCGCTCTACTTGCGGAAGGCCCATCATCGAGGCCTTGGGCATGTCCATGGATTTCGCCAATCGGCGCTTGAAGATCGGCTCATCTCCCTGGCAACCTGCTGTTCTGGGCCGACAAGGAGAATATCTCTGGTCACTGACCCAGGAACACGACATCATGCAGTACGACCCAAACAAGCCAGAGTTCGAGCTGAAAACGAATGACCCTGACGTCCACCAGAGGAATGGCTTCCACCTCAAAGACTTCATGCTCGAAGAACAGGTCTTCAACAGTTCCGAGCCGATGAACATGAAATTGGACAGTCACCACACCAAGCACCATGAGCTGAAGACCATGGACGTGACACTCACCACACAGCTCAATGAACTGTCAGCATACATCACCCGTGAGCTTCATCGACCAGAACGTCCACGAGTTCTAGTGGAACTCTACTGCGGCAAAGCAAGAACCTCCGAAGTGGCACAGTCGCTTGGCATGGAAGTTCGCACCTTCTCCTACGACACCGGCTGGGATTTCGACCAGCTCAAGCACCAGGAAGCTTTCCTGGAATTGTTCGATGAAGAAATGCCAGATGAGCTGCTGATCGCCCCTGAATGCAAGCTTTGGTCTCGCATGCAGTCACTTGGGAGGCGGACACCCGCCCAGCAGGAGGCGTTGATTGCAGCTCGACAACGACACCACGACAGGCACCTCATTTTCGTCAAGAAATCCTACCTCAAACAGCTCTCAGGAGGACGACATGCCACCATCGAACAGCCCAAGGATGCCTTGTCATGGCAGACGCAGGCCTTACGTTCACTCCGTGGCCGCATCACTGACTTCTCACAGTGTCGCTACGGAGCGCAGTGCCTGGACACCGATGGTCAATGGAGGCCAGTGTTGAAGAACACCCGCTTGCTCACCACCAAGAAGGCCGTTCAGGAAGCTATGTTTCTGCAGTGCCAACATGACCATCAACACTGTCACCTCGAGGGCTCAGCCACCGGATATGGAGTCAGAACTCGCTACATGGAGGACTACCAACCAGGTCTAGCAGCTACATTGGCAGCAGCCTTGAGCCCACCAGA